TTTTCACATCCGGTTTAGGACTATTCATCCAGGCAACAGTGTTGCTACCAATGGCAATCATTAAAATGTCAACTCAAGATTTTACGTAGGTGCGATAACACGTATGCCGATTGGCTGGAGTCCGACGTGACCAGGAGGTGGGGCTCCCTGTGCTACTATCACGGCAGGTACAGTGCCTCCTGTGCCCTTAGGTGGTGGTCCATTACCCTGATTGTGATTGGTGGTTTATTATTAATCGCGGTCATTGTATTTTTTGTGTGGAAGTGGAGGCAAAATCGCTATGCTAGATATACCTATAAGTGAGCTTGTTCATATAAATATTAGTTTAGTATCCGTGTATTTTTTATATGCTAGCTAATCATTATCATAGATTTATATATTTATGTTTAATTGTACTGTTTATTATTGTTTTCACCGGCTAACTGTATTTATTCGCATAATATCGTTAATAAATAAAATTGTATTTTAATCATGTGTTAAATTATTTTATTTTATAATTTTTTATTAAAAATATATTTATTAATATGATTTATCAGTAATTCTTTTTAATCATAAATGTTAAAAATATTTTATTTTAATAATACAAAATATTAAATTTATTTTACAGTTTTAATATAGAAATCTAATGTTAATTAATACTGTATTTAGTGCACAAAAATAATTCAATAATGAGTAAATAAATTAAATGATTATTTAAATGATCAAATTAAAGTACCTGTTTTAAAAGTAGTAAAAATAATAATAATGTAATCAAATTAATTTATATAAGATTGTAATTAACTAGATGATTAAAAACTGTTATTTATTGTAATAATTTGTATAAACATAACAACAGTTTGTCTCACTTTTAAATAATTGGTGTATTCACACGACAATACCATTTATATAATTAATTTTAAAATGGTATGTATACCTAAAGACTGATTATAATTAAAATAATAAATTATGATTTTAAAGTGATCTTTTAAAAGTGTTGGTTTTTAATTTTGTTAGTTTTTTCAAAATGTTGGTTTTTAATTCTAATTGGCCCCGGTAATTAAAATGATAAAAACCTAATATAGTCTGTTGTGGTCCATTAATATAATTGTCAAGCAAATATTTATTATAGTTAAGTTTTCATCAAAAGGTTACAGTTTTTAATTTGTAGTGTATTAAATAATTATAAGATTAATACTGTATAATATTAATTCGTAATGTGAAAGTGATTTATATATTAATCATTTAAAAATTTTGCCGCACATGGTGCAGTAGCCAGTTAATTAATTTTTGACCTTTTGACTTAAATATTTATTTTCTCAGTGAAAGTTTTACAGTTTCAAACAGATATTTAATCATAATTAATATAACTTAAAAAATAACTTTATCGTGCAGAAACTAATGAATTTCATTTATAATTTTGTCTATTAACTTATAAAATATAATATTTGACAACTTATTATAGTATCTTGATGAAACAATACATAAATAAATTGGATAAACAAGTAAATCATGTGTTCTTTACCAGCAATTTATAAATCTAATATATAAATAATTAGGAATAAACTATCATTATGAAAATGCTACAGTTTGAATGGTGTTTAAACTTTTACCTGTTAAAGTACCTGTTTTAAAAGAAGTCAAAACAATAAAAATGTAATTAAATTAATATATATATAAGATTGGAATTAACTAGATGATTAAAAACTGTTATTTATTGTAATAATTTGTATAAACGTAACAACAGTTTGTCTCACTTTTAAATAATTGGTGTATTCACACGACAATACCATTTATATAGTTAATTTTAAAATTTATGTTATATCATAGAACTAAATTAGTAATAAAATATCAGGGTTTTCAATTTCCAAAACTTCAATATATTTGATACTGTATGTATAAAATTGAAATCTATTCATGTCATCTTAACTATAATTACTTATTGTTAAATTTAAATGTTACAATATTAATTACATATTAACTATAGAAATTAACTTTTCTTTGTGTAAAAGTTATTTATTTTAATAAATTATCTCTAAAAATGTTTCTAAAATATACTCGTAATAGTTGTTTGAATATATTTTTAATTTTCATCACAAGTATTATAATCATTAAAAGTGTGAATCCATTCATTACTGAAAACAATGAAATGAAAACAAGTGTTAAATTCATAAACACTTCACTCATTGAACTAACGCTGGATTCATTGAATCTCACGATTCATATACTTATCAAACCTAATCGCGTGAATCGTATCAATAATATTGAAATATTGGACACGAGATCTCTGTCCGACGGACTCATAGTCATTGACTCGACCATCAAAGGAACGGCACTTTTATCACTTTCCGATAGCAAACTAATTGTAATTTTTAAAAGTATAAAATAAATATGTTTTTATGATATAAATTATTTTCATTACAATAGACTGGTATATTAGAAATGGATGGACAGACCTACTCATTGACACCGATATATACGAGAAATTCAGTGATTTTTAAGAGGGGAAAGAGGTCTACGAGTAATAAACATGTGATTCAACGGACCGATGGGTCGGACAAACAACCGGCTGTTTGTGGCAATAGTTTTACAGGTAATGTGTTATTGATTATTAAATTTAATATATTAGCAATGTAGTTAAAAATGTATATGTAACATTTATAAGTATATTAAAGTTTACTTATAAAATTACTTATAACGGGATAACTATAAACAGTAAATTAAATAATAAAATTCAAAAATAATCTTTACAAATTTATATAATAAATTAATGGACCCGGCATATGGATCAAATTATTTATAAAAATCATTTTATTTGCAAATTCATAATACAGTCCATAAAGACATAAAGTTTCGGACAGCCGATGATGACTCGGATAACCCATACGTGAAAGATGCCAACTTATACCTTGGTAATGCCAGAATCAAAATCGCCGTATTTGTCGATCAGATACTTTTCCGACACAAATTCAATGGCGACTTGAGTGCCACCAAACAGTTTGTGGTCATAAATGTCGCTCATTTAGAGTGACAATTAAAAACTCCCAAGGTTCATCAAAATATAAACATTAGCCTGGTCATTGTCCACTTCCAAGTGACCCACTTTTACAACACTATCCAATGGGATGTCAGCGAATATTTGCACCAATTCTGTACGTATGCTAACAAGAGGAGCACCGGTAGTAAGGCTGATGTGAATATCATGTTTACTGGGTATGTATCGTATATACACACCATTTTATAGATAATTTAAATGTGCAAGGTATAATTTAAAAATAGGTCGACCCTGTGGTGGTTGAAAAATGGTAAATACAGTACTAAATTGAAAGGCATGGCATACGTGGGACAGACATGTAGTGACTCGTCGTGTATACTAATAGAGGCCAGGGATGGGTACAAATCACTGCGGATACTGTCCCACGAGTTCGGACACAAGTAATAAAATTTCGTTAAAAATTTATATTTTTGTTGAGTATATTATGAGCTAAACTATTATGACATAACATCCCTGGCTAATGCGGACAGTATGGGCGCCAATCACGACGGGGATACAAATTTTAATACCACTGACTGTCCAACAGATAAGTATATCATGTCGTCGGAGGTGGACATCGAGCAGAATATGTGGTCCGACTGTAGTATCAAAAGTTTTTGCCAATATTTAGGTTCATTACCGAAAAGGTTTGCAAATTTGATTAAAATATTATAATAAGTTATGACATAAATATTGTAAAACTAATTATTCTCAATTAAAATTTATGTTTAGTTTTAATAAAATATGTTTTGTGTATAATAAGTTACATTAAACAATAATGCTAATAGTAATAGTAAAATAGTAATAATAGTAAATAATAGTAATAATAGTAATAATAGTAATAATAGTAATAGTATTTTATATAGTAACAATAATAGTAAAATAATTCTACAGTATTATAATAATACAAGCATACAGAGTAGTGATATGTTATGTTATAATGTTTTAACGAAGCATTGTTTGAATAAAAATAATTTAGTAGTGAGTATTTAATAAATTATAAAATAAATAACATATATTAAATGAGGACTGTAAATTATAGTAATTAAAAACATATACTTTTAAATCAATTTGTGTAATTTTTATTTGGTTTTACAACTGATTTGTAAATAATAACATAGAATTTCCACCTAGAATATTATTAAATTAACAATAATTTTTATTAATAGGGATAAAAATTTAATCGGGATCAAGTGTTTAGCACAAAAGGCTAAACCCATGTCCCAGGACTTGACGGTTACGGACAGCGACTTATATAAAAGACCCGGACTATACATCTCAGCCGATAAACAGTGCCAAATGGCTTTTGGCCCTAAATTCAGTTATAAGCTCAGCCAACGCACTGTAAATGAAAATTTGAATATGACCTAGATCAAATAATTTAGGTTGATTTAGGTTTTAAAGTGTTTTTAATATTATTTATATTGCAGAGTATTTGTCAGGCATTGAAATGTAGGGACGATTTCTTTGTGGTGCAAACGTGGGGCGCATTGGAGGGCACGGAATGCGGGCATATTAGTCAGTGCACTAACTCCCGGTGCCGTCGATTAACCTACGATACGGACAACTACTCGGCCAGTGGTCGGGCTATTGTCAGGAGTCGAGTGAATATTTAATTTAAATAAAACTATTTTATTATAATTATTATAAATGGTAATTTAGTATTCAATAATAGAGTTTAAAAATTATTACTCTAATTTTACAAACGCTTAAAAGTAAAACTTATTTTTTTATGAGTTTTGTTTAATGTTAAAAGTTTGTATTAATTAAAACATTATTAATTATAAGATATTAATTATGAAAATATTAAATAGCTCTAAAAGTAAATATGTAAAGTAATTAAATTATCAAAATGTTAAATATAAAAATTTAACGGGCTAATGGTGCCTCCAGATCTATATTTTAATATTAAAACTTTCTTAAAATTGATTACAATTTTTTAAGAAAACATTTAAACATTCAATTATGTACTCATATGTATGGGAAATAAAACTGTTAAATTAAAAACAAATACCTTGTTATAATATAGAAAATTATTATATTTAATTAAAACTAAAAACAATAAACTTTTATTAAATTCATTAATTAAATTTTTGTATAGTATACAGTATATTACTATCAATTGACCACTTAATTAAATATTTTAGCAATACAAATTTCTGAAACTATTATAAATGTTTATTATTATATGAAATTAGCATAATAAAACATTTGATTACATTGTTTACTATCCACTTTTATAGCCTTTGTTAAATTAAGACTTTATGTTACCATGCGCCCTACCTAAATAATATAAATCTAAATATCTATTACCTACTATTTTATACAATCTCTTATCATCCCTTTCCACAAAATAATTTTTTAATAACAAATATTTTGAATAAAGGTATCGACAGATGTATGAATTGATTTAAATAAGATTATCGCTATTTATATACAGAATTTGCGCACAATATGTGTATTAATTTTGAAACAAAAATTATTTTAATTATTACATACAGTATGTATGTACAGATATAAATTTGTATGTTCTAAAAATAATTTACTATTTATTTTAAGTAAACAAGTTACAATATAAACACAATATTATGTACCATTGCTGTTGTGTCTAATAATTATTTAGCAAAATATACTGACAGTAAGTATTGTATTGTCTTATGTTTACAATTTAATGCTTAGATATTGATATATTAAGCAAGTTCATTTTTGCTGAGTAATAGTTAAAGTGTATAAGATTGCAAACAATATTGTATTTCAATATTGCTTTTGTTAAACCTGTTTGAAACATATTAATAATTTTTAAAATAAAGTAAAACAAATATTTGTATTTATATTATTGTTATTATAAAAGTATATTTTTCTAATTACGGTAATAGGAATCATCTAGTTATCATTAAATATGGACAAACACTATACCGGCTCATTTATATGGCTAAAATGGATCCTGTTCACATATTGTGTATTTATGGTCATTGTAATCTCAATAAGTGTTGTATTAATGCAACAAAAGGTATGCAAGTATTAAATTAACATTACTTTCATAAATACTAATACAATGTTTAAATAATATTTATTAATTATATTACAAATAATAGACAAAAAATATTTTTCAAATATTACTCAAAAATAAACTAATTACCAATTTAGTTTGTAAATAAATTATAATTTAAAAATGAGGATCCATTGGCTTGACACCCATTGTCAATATTAATACATAAACTTTAAGCTTTTAAAATTAGTTAAAATAATTTACAGTTTATTTTCAATTTTAAGGATTATATTTATAACTTATTGCAAAGGTTTACAAAATAAATTACCAATTTATGCCTATTTATTCATTATAAGAATTTATTTCTACCACAAATAATTTAAATTATCATATTTTAATAATATTATATTATTTATAAGTATAATTGTATATTGTTTTTAATCCTAGGGGCTATTACTACTGTTACTGACAGTGCCATTTGTGGGCCTTGGTGCTACCTACATGGAGGATTTTTATTTGACCATTGTGTATTCCCTACTTATGTCCCTGGGCAGTATATCCAGTATTTTCCCACTATTTGCTGTAGTATCGTACGTGCCCACCCTGCTATGTAATATTGTGTTTACAATATTAGCCATTACATTTTGCTTGGAGTGCTATGAGAAGCATGTGACCATGCTTAAAACTCGCAAAATTATAGCTGACACTGGATTACCGGCACAGTATGCTATGAAACAACTCGTGGATCCTAATGTTGACGTTAATTTGCAGTCAAAGGCACCGGTAGCTCAAGAAAATCCGATTTTATAAAATATTACATTGTTTATTTTAATTATTTGTTTATTGTAAAAGTTGTATTTAACTTAAATAATTTAAGTTTAAACATATTTAGCTTAATTATTTTTATGTACTGTTTTGTTTACTAGGTAAATTAATATACATGTTTATGTGTTATTATTTCTACATATAAATACATTTGTGTTCATATTAAATTTATAATTATACAACTATGTTATACTTAATAATCAATATATTAAATAGTTTTAAAATGTTATTAAACTATAATTATCAGTGATACATTTATCGCTGTTTATAGTAAAGTTCTACAAATATTTATTATTATTTTATATAAACTGTAATAAAAATAAATAAAAATAATTTAAATGAACATATTTCAATTATAAATAATCCAGGAGAGTAATTTGTTTTTGTATTAATATATTATAAAATACAAATACTCATTGGGCAATTATTTTTAAAATTAATAATTTATTAATTTATTTATTTAAACAATATACCCTACTTAAATAAAAAAAATTATTTTCGGCTTGACAATAATATTATAAAATTAAACATGATGCATGTTTCAATCAATAATTATGGCCTTAAAAGGGAAATTTTGGTTAAAAACTGTAATTTTATAT